GAGAAATTTTTAAAAATGCCACTTCTCAAATGTCACTTTACAAAAATGCTACACTTTTGAAATCTTTACAAAAATGCCATTTTTTAAAAATTATTTTTTCTTTATATTATTTGTGTTAGGGTTAATTATGTTCTATTAGAATTTAGTTATGAGGGTTTAGGAGGGGGTTTAGGGATCAAAACATTTTTTATGTTTAGAATTTTAAGATATAGGATTTAAAAATCTATAATTAGTGGCATTTTTGCAAATCAACACCCCTAAATGGCATTTTTGTAAATGTGCACATAAAAAGTGGCATTTTTGCAATTTTCCCAATTAACAATATAAACACATTATAAAATTATAAAAAATCAAAAACCATACTATTACAATAGAATATAAAAATCATTAATTCAATTTAATTACTAATACTATGAGTATATTTCTTATGTTCATTTTTTAATTTTTTTAGTTCAGATGGAAGTTATGATTTAAATAGAGAAATTTTTCTATTTTGGAGAGATTAATGTTATATTTTGAACATTTTAGTTTACTAGATTTATTAATCAGTTATCAAAAAAAAATTTATTGAAAGAATTATACTTTAAAGATTTTATAAATATAAAATTATGATAAGTTATTGAATATTAATTAGAAAGATTCAAATTGTTGATATATTTCATAATTATAGTATCCAAATATTAATTATAAATTTATTACATTTATTTTAGTTTTTATATAAATTTTCTCTTCATTTTTGCTAAAAAAATCAATTTTTACTTTTTCAATTACCCAACCGCAAACGCCTGCTACCGCAAACGCTTGAGAGAAGCAACTTTTGCTTTTAAAAAGTTTGAATCGACAAGGAGCGGTATAAAACGTTTCCAAGATTGTTTTCAAACGCCAATAACCGCTACCACCCGTAGACGCTACGTTTGCGGGTGATAGCGGGTGAACCAATCAAGCTCTGAATCATATCTTAAACGTTTGGTTTTGTTTGGATAATGGTCAGCTATAATTTTTAAGGTTATCAAATCTATTTGGTTTGACTATATTGGTCAACCGTTTTATTGGATAACTAGGTGACTCTCCGCGTTATACGCGGATTATTCAATTTTTCCAATATAAAATAAACTAAAAACGTTAACTATAGTTAAAATATTTTAACTGTGTTCAATCTTTTAATATTGAAAAAACTCTCACAAATAACTTCCCATATAATTTATATTTGTGAATAATAGTATATAAAGTAAAACATAATTCAGTATAGAGGACTATATATGGGTTAGTTTCGATTTGTATTTGAATTTTCACAAAATTATTATTTATTTCTCAACTAAAGCTTTTAAGCCAATTGTTTTTGTTAGATTCAATATTAAATTTGGGACTTTTTATTAAATATTACGTAAAAATATAATGTAATAATAATATTAAGTTTGAGTCTTTTTCATGTTGAAATTTTCTCCCTTATGTATAACTTTATATATAAAATATGAAGTTCATTATATAAATTATAAATCAAAACATTAGTTTAAAGAGAACTTATTCATTTAATAAATATATATAATTCATATTTTTTATTTTCGAATATTCTTCTGTTGAACAAAGTTTTTTAGAAAAAG